TATGCTGTAGTCGGCAATCTTCCGTTTTGGTATAGAGTGGGACAGGGAGGGGGTGATGCTACTGTAGTCGAACGGTGGGACGGACGTGCAGTTCAGTTTTTGGGCACGCATACGGTGCTGCAGGTACTTTTAGGTGTACCTCTTCGGGCTCTTGGATACCTTTTACTCGTCATATGTGTGCGTGTTCTTTAGATCCTCAGATGGCTGTAGCACTTTCGTGACCGCGAGCTGAGAGTCTTTTGCTAGATTTTGGCATTTAGCAACTGACATACGGTTAAATGTGAAGACAACAACAACAACAACATCTAGTTGCCACTCCATTGATGAAGGCCTGCCGCTGTTGACCGGTCCTCACATCATGGAAGTTTGTCAAAGTAAAATCCGTGCGACCGCCTGGTTGTACTTGCACGCTGCTGCATGCACACACACACGCCCGCCCACGGGGTCCCACTTCATGGCAGATAGAAGTGTTTCGTGTTTTCAACCGCACTAAGGCTGACGTCGTTTCATTGGTCAGCCGGTTAGCGCAGTCGATGCTAATAGCAAAGACACACGCTGGTTGCAAGTGCACGCTTCTGCACACACACGCCGCCGCCGCTTGTTACACAATCTTGCGCCGCTGTGGCACACACGGAGTGGACTGCTCGAAACATCACGAATACCTGGTTACCGCATATCTACATATTACACTATATGCAATGTACGTTGCCCGTCCATAGTTCCGCCCTCTACGGTGGTAGCTGCGGCATACAAGCAACGCTTGTTGTTGTCCGTGACTACCGTTACGCGGTTCTGGCTGTTACGGCGGTGCGGTTATTTCACATGACGCCCGCTGCACACTCACATACTCGGTACCCGGTCCTCACATCATGGATATGTCATAACTCATTTAGTCAAAGTCAAATCCGTGCGACCGCCTGGTTGCACTTGCACGCTGCTGCATACACACACACGCCGCCGCTGCTTGTTACACAAGCTTGCGCCGCTGTGGCACACACGGGGTGGGCTGCTCGAAACATCATGAATAGTTGGCTACCGCATAGTCTACATATGCAATGTGCGTTGTCCGTCCATAGTTCCGCTCCCTACCGTGGTAGCTGCGGCTCACACGCACCGCTTGTTGTTGCCCGTGACTACCGTTACGCCGTTCTGGCTGTTACGGCGGTGCGGTTATTTCACATAGATAGTCTAACGCGCGCTGCACACTCACATACCCATGATGAGCTTGTCTGCTGGCTCCTACGTATGCCGTGTGCCGCTACTATCATTGTTATTTTATATTTTGTTTGCCTTCCGACAATTGCAGATGTACCTCAGAACACTTTCACTTAAATGTTTTTATTATTATTGCTCTCCGACAATTGAAGATGTTAGCACTAAAGTCCTAAAACGTTTCACTCAATGTATACCCCTTTCTATTTCTATCTTCATGCTCATACTTGTACGAATACGATATTTTACATGCACGTCATGTTAATACGTACCTACCAATGCCGAACTCAAAACTGAAGGAAATCATAACATTATTGATTGAATTCAACATTTCCTCCGTTCTCCTGTTACTTCCTTTGTGAAAATGCCAAAACCTTGTCTCTCCAAAACTCTGACAAGAAGTTCCTGTCGTTGAACCGAAATCTTGTGAACATAACCTACTACCGAAACGACATTTCTTTTAGTATATGTGATGTACCTACCAAATGCTTTGTAACAACTATACCTACGCTCATAAGATAATCCATTACATTCCTACTATTACAGTGCATCGACACTACATCCCCAAATCATTGGTGTCGACGTGTTCGGTGTCGATCTTGTTCGTTGGTCCTCCGCTTCTTGTCGTCCACGTAGTGCGAGCTTGTATCTTTGTACCCTCCTTGACATGGCCACCTCCGTAGCCACCGAAACGACCTGAAGTAGCCTCTCCTTGTAGACTCCTTTCTGGGTCATCGTTCCTCCATGCCTCCCTCCTGCAGCGTGCGTCGCTAGTTCGTCGATGAATTCGTAACCCTCCTCTCCCAGGCGGCCAAAGCTTTCCACCGCTAAGGTGTTAAGTTTATAGCTGCGCTCGTCAAAGGACACGTGTCCTGGCCGAGCGTACTCTACATGATGAATATTAAACCAATACGAAGTAAGTACAACAACATATGTAGGACTTATTTCTACTGTCACTTACATAATAAAAATAACATCTCTTCAATTTAAAATAAAACCAATGACAATCCTAATAGTATGTGTAGTATTCGTAAGCTTGCTAAACTACTACTACTTACTGCGTTGTTGATATCCTCTTGTAAAAGCTGAAATCCAACAAATGCTTTGATCCATGCTACATCTCCGTGTTGGATAAGCCCTTTGGTCTCCGTTCATGATAACATCTTACCCTATTCTACGCAAATCTGTCACATCTACAAATTGTTGGTGGATTCTCCGCAAGGGTGTGTAAAGTTTAGCATCATAGTCTATAGGCTCGTTATTTACGCTTCGGAAAAGTCGTGCAATTTTCCACGGAACGGTGAAAACAAATCCCGACTTTTTTTCTCTTGTTCTTGAATATTCGTGATGGTCATCGCAAGAAGTACGTTTCCTTCCTACACGCTTTGCTCGGCACACAACAGGTTGACTTGGTGTTGCTCACCATAGAGCAGCGGTGAAAGCGCAATGAGCAGCACCCGACACAGAGGACAACAAACTTAGAAAGATCCTATCCACCCGGCCTGCTGTTTTCAGTTTTAAGCAACAACAGGCGCAGGGCAGCAACCTAGCTAGCTAGCTAGGAGTTGCTTGCGATTTCTTCAGTTTGCCAGCTCATTTTTCACGGTTGCGACTCCTCCCATCATTGGCCACCGCCTACCCAAAGATAGACGAGCTCAACAATCATAGGGCGGCAGCCGCGCTGACGGCCAGCATCATATAGATGACCAATCCGAAAGAATTTGCGCGTCGGAGGGCCTGTTCCTCTTCTTCTGCTGCGTAGTGCTGTGGATTGATGTTGACGAGTCCGACCAAAACCAACAGGCTAGACTACATCTCGCCGCATTTTTCCAACGGCATTTTGGTGAGGTGGCACACGTCTCTCACACACCTTATTGAGCAGCACCCAAGCACCCAATACCCACGAAGCAGCACGGCGCAGCACGGGAGATGGTATTGTAGGAGTTTTTTCCGCGCGCGAAGCGCGCGTGCGAAAATAAAAACGGAGCGATAGCGGAGTTTTTTTTCGCAAAAAAACTGTTTTAGGAGTTTTTTCCGCGCGCGAAGCGCGCGTGCGAAAATAATAACGGAGCGATAGCGCAGTTTTTTTTTCGCAAAAAAACTGTTTTAGATGGGTCCTTTTGTTTCCTCGCCTGCCTGGGTTCTGCGCACGTTGAATAACACCGCCTGTCAGCCCGACCCCTGAATTAAGTACTGTTCTCAAATTGATGTCCATGTGTGTGCTTTTATTATTAGCATCGACCGCGCTAACCGGCTGACCAATGAAAAGACGTCAGTCT